GTTTGGCTCAGCGGTTAGAGCGTCTGCCTGCGGTCCGGAGAGACCCGGGTTCGGTTCCCGCTAAGGGCATGTACCTTGGTTGCAGTTTGTCCCCGGCCCTGGTTGGTCATGTGGGTGGCAGCCACTCGATGTGTCCCTTTCACATCAATGTTTCCCTCTCTCTCTTCCTCTCTCTCCCTCCCACTCTGTCTGTACAAAAAATGGAAAAATGTCCTCGAGTGAGGATAAAAAAAAAAAAAGAATAGCTCATCAAGGAATGTCAGAGGCTGGCTAACAGTGTCTGTCCTCACGCCTTCACACGTCCTCCCTCCAACCGACCCCCCTACACACACACACACGAATCTCCCTATTGATTCTCTTCCAATACTTCAGCACTCACTTTAACCTTTTCATTGCTTTCCTGCCTGCTCTCCTGGGAACAACCAAGTGTTTCCTCACTTAGGTACAAATACAGCTTCAGATGTATCTTATGGAAGTAACCAAACTGAAATGAAACTCCTCTGTGTCTCTCTCCCAAGTACATTGTACACATTAGGTGTCCCGTAAATGTTGTGTGAACTGAATTTAACTGATGCCAATTTCAGACATGCCTGAGGTTAGTCAGTGTTTTTCAAATCACCTATTAATTGATTATTCCTCCTCTTCAAGGTTCTGACAGTGAAATTATTAATATTCCAAATTTGAGTTCTATAGACAATAATCCTAGATTGCATAATGCGTGTGTTTATCTATTAAATAAAATTCTCCTAGCCCTGGCCGGTTTGGCTCAGCGGTACAGAGAGACCCGGGTTCGGTTCCTGCTAAGGGCACATATCTCGGTTGCAGTTTGTCCCCGGCCCTGGTTGGTTGTGCGGGTGGCAGCCACTCGATGTGTCCCTTTCACATAGATGTTTCGCTCTCTCTCTCTTCCTCTCTCTCCCTCCCGCTCTATCTGAACAAAAAATGGAAAAATGTCCTCAAGTAAGGATAAAAAAAAAAAAAAATTCTCCTAAATCACAAGGGATGAAGTGACTCTGAGGTGAAGAGAAAGTAGGTATCAGAAAACCAAATACATCTACAAAGTGTTTTGAAGTGACTTTAAGTTATGTTAACAAAAAATTTACAGTCACAATAATTCATTTTCCATGTTTTATTCTCCCAATAGAAAGGAAGCTCATTTCCTAGATAGTCTAGATCATTCTGTCAAGGGGAAATGGCCCAGCATTCTTTAAATGATATTGCTTAATTACTTTTTCAAACACCAGTGCTCCAAAATGTTGAGATTTCTTCCATCTACCCTCGAAGTCATCCAGCCAGTCAATACAGTATGTTGCTGAACACAGACGTAATGTCAGAAATACTGTGTTCTGACCTTTTAGTCCTTCCTTTTTCCAAACTGCTTCTCAAAGCAAAGCCAGACTTATGTTCTACCAAACCCCTTGCATGTCCCTAGAAATCTCTAAGTCGGTTCAAATTCAGTTACATCACACAGCTTTCTTTCAGACTCACAGCAACATCTGGAATCAGACAGGCAGACCTGATTTGTCATGCATCCTGACAGATATACTCAGAATGTCCCTACAGTTCCATTTTTTCTCTATAAACCTGTCGGAATGAAATACTGTCACTGTAGCTCTGGCTTCTTCCTACAACAATTGTCGTTTCTATTCAGAGCCAGGGTCAGGCTGGAGAAAGAGATGAGGAGCAGAGTGGGGAACACTGAGACATGCCCTCTCTACCTCCAGGACCTCCACACTGAACCACCATGTGGACATCTGGGTGGGGAGGGCCCTCTCCTTAGCCTTTATTGAGCTATGAGAATAGAGATTGATACTTTTCTAATTCATTGTGGCCAAGCTCCAAGGAAAAAGTCAGTGCAGTGTGCTGCCAGTTGGTTTAGATATGGGACTCCAGTAAGAAGTCAACAGGAGCTCACAGCCACTCCGGGCTTTATTTAAGGCACGCTTCATCAAAACTTTTTGTACTTCACAGGTCATCAGAGACCAGAAGCATTCTTGTCAGACTTTGCTTTCTTCTCTCCTCTTCTCTCAGTATGTATCCCCCCTACTTCTGACCCTCCTAATCTTCAAACATTCTTTCCATTCTGACTCATCCCTAAACTGCTTTTCTCAGTAAAGCCAGTATGAGAAGCATTCTGAACTGGAGCAAAAGAAACCACATCACAAGACCTTCTGAGATGTGGCGATGATGTGATGTAGATACACCTGAGAACAGCTGGCTCACCCAGGGAGTCCCCAGCAGTCTGACAGGGTCACTGAAGGAACACATTCTGCAGTCAGCATACACAGTAGCTGAGCCCCAACTCCACCACTCTGTGATTTTATTTTCCTCATTTATAAAATATAGATAAAGCATATTTCACTTCCCCAGAAATATTGCAAAAATCAAATGAGATAATTCACATAAAAATGCTTTAATATAATAAGTTAACAATCGTGATCATAATTGTTAGTATTGTTGTTGTCTGGATAAGCGCCTCCTAGAGTAGTAAATTATGCCAATGAAGACAATGGAATAGTAATATCATGGGCTGTGTGGGATACATGGTCTGAGCTCTCAATATATGATGTATGTTATTTAATATGTGATATATTTTGTCAACGGCTATATGACACAGCTCCCAGCAGTACTATCCACATTATTACCTTGTAAATTACGTTCCTGAGTTACACGTGATAGCTCTATTACATTTGTAGCCCGTATTGTAATATATTTATGGTAAAGTGTAATATATTGTATATACTGTAAATTATATATAGCACAGAGCATACATTTGTGATAAAAGGTTAAGGCTAAAGTCCTTTCACAATTTACAAAGTACCACTCAGATTTTTTTCTCATAAAAACTGTGAATTTGTCATATAAGAACTGACTTGAAGTTGAGAAGGAGACATTTTTATGGTCCTAATATTTAGCAAAACACCTGACCCATACTAGGTTATCAAGAGACATCAAATGCTAAGTAAAACTACAACTATGTCTCAATTTACCAAAATCCATTGACACATTTTTTTAAACAGGGTCATTATGGAGGTAGCTTTTAAAATATGCGTACTCTTTCCTGGGGTCCCGAGACCACGCTGAACAGGCTATTAGAGTCACGTTCCTGGGAGGCCCAGTGTGTCGTCTCAAAGGTCGGGTGATCCTGGGGAGAAAGAAGAGCTTGTGGAGGATTTTAAGCTGCAGATAAACTCAGTGGACTTAGGTTTGGGGCAGGTCCCTCTGCCTGAGGTGAGGCACAGTCCAGGTAAGAGGGGGTCCCCGCACCTGGGCAGGTGCCTTGGCACACCCTCCGAGCTGCCCTCACCTTGACGTGGGCTTTGTGGTGAAGCAAATCTCACTCCGAGTGTGGACCATCAGGAAACTGACGTTGTACTGAATGTCATGGGTGGACTGGAGGGAGAAGGGGCTCCTATAGCCACCAGCACCTCACTCCAAACCCCGTGTCTCTTCCATTGCTCTTGTCCTGTGCTTCCAGTGGATTTCCCCTCTCCTGGCCCCTTCCCCTCTTTGTCGGAGACACTCAGCCCCACCCTCTGCTTGCACCTAAGACACTGCAAAGCAAAAACCAAGGGGCTCACTATCTGCACCCCGGGAATTTGCTCCCAGAAGTAGGGGATGGTCTGTTTAACAGACCTGAGCAAGGACTCGAACTAAGAAAGCTGCAGCAGTGAGCAGGAAGTGGGCAATTATTTTTCAGACAAAACCGGTGGGTTTTGGTGACTGACTGTATCAGAGAGGAGAGTCTAGGCTGACTTGCTATCCCGAAGGTCGCTGCCCTAGATCAGGCTTTTACTCTGGTTTTTGTTTGGTCAAGATTTTGATCGCAGTTACCTGACTGCAGTCTCTCATTCCCTAATTGCTTTCCAAAGGTATAAAATGGATTGGAACAAATCTGGTCATATCTCTCTCCAGGTAACTAGCCATATTTAATGGTTTCCCTTTCTTCCTAGGTAGAGTTCAAACTCCTTCACAAGGTCTACTGAGAATTCCCTGTATGTCAGGAGACGGGTCTCACCACTGCCCCAAGGGAACACTTCAGGAGTGAGTTATGATTTCAGAAATACAACACCCTCTCCTATTCATCTGTTGCATAAGACAACTTGCTCAACTTCAACTGGCTCTTCTAGGCTCGGGTCAAGCATCACTTCCTACTTTGCATACCTGGTATAGTACAAACTCTCCTGTTTGCTAATTATCCCCTTCAACTAGACCACGAGCTCACTGAGGACAAAGACTGTATCTTCTCCACCTGTGAACACTCAGGGTCTAGCTTGGCTTACAAAACAATTTATTGAATAAATAAATGAGAGAGGTGGAACCAAGATCCAGATCTAAAACTTCCCACCTTAGATCCAGTGCTTCTCCCAATATATCACAGCCAGTGAGAGGGACACATTGTGGTAGAGGATCACATACTTCAGAGAACACCTTTCCTATTTTTAATCTAGCACAGGGAAAAAAAATGGTGAAACATGATAAAACGTGTTAAGTTGACATGAGTATTAAGAGACCATACTACACAAGCCCACTGATACTTGAAATGTTTAACCACTACAAGAAGTAAAAAAATATTTAAATCAAAGTTAGCAGAAGATACAGTATTGTTTCATTAGATTAGACATACTTGAGAATATTCTAAAGATTTTATGTTAACACATCATATTATATCCACCAAAAAGTACCTTAATTCCTATTTGGGAACTAACCCAATTTAAACACGTATTGTCTTTTTCTCCCTTGCTATATCCCAGGGGGCACAGACAACAAAAGGGTAGAACGCAAATCTGTCAGTGGTCTTTTTCTTTTTGTATTCATCAGCCAAAGGCTCCACCAGGCAAGAAGTTGAAAACTGGTAACCAATAATGTACTTTCATAAATGTTTCCAAAAAGTATCTTTGTTGTCTCTAATTCTATTAAAAAGAATTATCAGCGAACCAATTTTAAGTCTCTATAACCATGCAGATCTTGTAAAGGACTCCAACCAAGAGCTTCTTCCTTCCTATTACAAACAAGAGTAAAACAAGTAAGCCAAGAAACTGTAGCCATGTATTTATTGGAAACAAACTAGACAGGACATATACCTGATGAAGATGTAACAATGCATAAAGCATAATTGATGCAACATTTACAAAATCGCAAAAGAAAAGGAAATTCATTTTCAAAAGAAACATTGTATCCAAGACACCTCAATCTCTGGACACCATCATACTCATGAGGTTGCCTCTCAACATCCAGAATGAAATGTACTTTAAACTGAACAACTAAAAAGAAAAGTTTCTTTTCCCAAATTGAAGAGTCCTTGGCTACCACCTGTGTGTCACACACATCAGAAGATTTTCACCACCAGAGAGTAACCAGAGGATATTTTTCATATTCCTCATAGGAAAAAGTCTCTCTTACAAATAGAAACATTTGGGGAAAATCCAAGCAACAAATCAGTGGGTGGCCCCAACTCAATGGGGCACCTAGAATCAGCATTTTCTAGAACCGAGGAATTACATGAATTTGATTAATCAGATTTCACTTGAAGAGACTGCCCAGATTAGACAGCATGCTGATTTGTAACAGGTCATTAGCATTGCACTGAGTAAAGGTGCGTGCAGTGGGGCGGGGCGGTAACAGATACTTATCACCTGCTCATCAGGGTTTTCCAAAACCTTTAGAGCTTGACTCTTCTACTCTACAATAGTGTAGCCTTTGAAGAAAATTATCCCAGGTAATCCATCTGTAATCATATAAGTACTGCAAAAAGCAGTAATGGTGACTTGTGTGGAAAGGCAACACCGCAGCATCAGCCGCCAGGGGCCCTAATGGAATCCTCTCTGCAGTGGATGCTTGCAGCATCACTTTCCTTCCACGCACCTGCGCGCGAGAACGTCCTCTCCACGCGAGAACGTCCTCTCCACGCGAGAACGTCCTCTCCACGCGAGAACGTCCTCTCCACGCGAGAACGTCCTCTCCACGCGAGAACGTCCTCTCCACGCGAGAACGTCCTCGCTGCCGGTGGGGGTGGAGCTGGGAGCCCAGACCCGGAGCTGTGGTGTTAGCAGAGCTGGCCACACTCCCCCTTTCCTGCCAACGCATGTCAACAGCTTGTTTCAAACGTTTCACAGTTCTCATGAGTTTTCACATGGAAGGAGATGATTATGAGCTTATCACATTCTATCAACTGTCCAAAAACAAACAAAAAACAAAAGTATCTGAGCACAGCATGTCATCTTTAGAAAACCAATCATCATTGCATTTTCTTGTCCTTCATTTAAGGTGGAGAAATGGAAGAGCACCCACATTTTGGTGGGGAAATGGCAAAACCTTGTCACCAACCGTGGCACCAAGCAAAGGGGAGACAGCTGCGGAAGAAATTTAAACAAAAATGGGGAAAAACTGATAGGGACCATTGAGGCCCTCAGTTAGAATTCTGAGGCCCGATACTTTTTAGTTTGAGTTATAATGCTGGTCGGATTTGCTAAAAATATTAGCAAGGTTCTCTTTCACCTTGAGCTGGGTGGGTAGACTCAGCCCCCTGTCTCCTTAGGCATGTCGAAGGTAATGCCCAAGCAGACTCAAAATGCATGTACACGTAACATGCCAGTCGGCACAAAGCAGGCGGGGGAGGAAGGCTTCCATCTTCCCGAAAACCCCCCAGGAGCCTGACCGTCAATCAGTCCCCTTCCCCAGAGATCCCATGCCCTACGTCTTAGGACAGACACACATAACGTACACAAATGTCCCCCCTGTGCACCACTGAGTGAGACATGCTGTTCTTTGGAGAAAAAAAATACATTCGTTGTTGTTGTTTTTTTCAAGTACATTTCAATATACAAAGATTCTCTAGCTTTGTTTCACTACAAAGACAAAATGATTTCACGTGTCTAAGGGGAATTTCACTTTAACTTCCCTTTGGTGGGGACTTCATGAAGTTTTGATTTTAAAAAATTGCTCTAAATATACATTTACTCCTTATAACCGAAAGCATGAGTTCTTGATGTCCATTTTACATATGTACATAGTCAACAGCAGCTAGTCTGCCTGTGTGCAATGGCTGGGTTGGCACGCCACGACGGGGGCCCGCTGGCTGGGACAGGGCTCAGCACCAGACTCGGGGCGGCTCCGCCAGCGCGGGGCAGCGCGGGGCAGCGCCAGGGACCCCCTCTCGGAGGCTCCGCTATGGCTTGCTCCCGGCCTTGGCTTTGTTGTTCGGGGTGCAGTTCAGGTCTCTCAGCAGCGACTCGCAGTCGGCCAGGGCATCGGCGGGCAGCAGCTTCCGGATCTGCTCCACCGTCTTCTGATAGGCCATCTTCTCCTGCTCCAGGGTCCGGATCAGAGATTTCATTTTGGTCTCTCTAGTCAAAAGGTTTTCCAGGTTGGATTCCAAGGTCTGGATTTTGGCATGAGCCGTCTGTTGGGAAGAAATGGAGAAGGAAAAAAAAAAATTCTCCGAATCAAGAATTTGAAGACCCTGGTTCTTCATTGCAGCAGCAGCAGCCAGATCTTATATATATTCAGCAATCATATCATAGGACTTAATGAAGTAATATGTGAAGCAAATACTCTGAAACCTTCCATGAAATGGAGATTTATAACTTTCTCAAAATTATAGCTATGGTACTAACAAAATACATCTCATTTCACTGAACACATCAAAAATGCAGCATGAAGTCACTAGCCCAAGGGGGTGAGGGTGCTCACTCCACACACCGGTGTTCCCCTGGAATGAGTGCGATCTGATGGAGAAACACTGCCTTGAGGTCTAAAAGGGGCTTTTCACCCTCTAAATGGAAATTCGGGGTGTTCTAAACACATACTCAGGATCCTGTCCATTTTCATAGGTGTCAGTGGTACCCATGAAACTTGGGAACCCAGACATGATGACAACATTGAACTATCAATGAAAAAGTGTGTAACCATTAATAAAAATCATTATGATATAAAGCAGGAGCAAACACACCTCGCCTAATAAGGAAGTATTCAATTAACCACCACTGAAATATCCATGTATTAATGAACAACGTCCCAACTGTGTATTTTTCTTTTTGAAAACAAACAACATTGGCTCTTTTTTTTTATATAAGAAAATGCATTTTTCTATGCACCAGAGCTAATGTAAGATGCAGTAAAGAAAGCTAGTGTCCCTATTCTTGGGGAGCAGTTACTTTAGTGTTCCCTCATTTCTGAGCTATTGTTCTCCTAGTTGGTCCAGAGGTTCACTACACAGAAGCAGGCTGTCGTGTTCTCTGGTCAGGGGACAGATGCAGTACTGGGACAAGCAGAAACCTAGGAGCCCTTGGGTACTGAAGCTCTCACTGAGAACTTACCTCCTTGACCCCCAGAAGGTTCACCTTCCAACCTCCCCCCCCCAGTCCCACCCCTCAGGGTGTGAATACATAGCATGCATTATGTAATGTGCAGATGTGAAACATTAATTTCCACTAAACTGCTTATTGCGTCTATAAATGTGCATTGATTTACAAAGAAATATTTAATCGTTTATATTTCCTAGTAATCGTAAACTTCTTGATAGCAGGGATTTTGTATCACGTGTTTTCATTCCATTCTCTCAAACATGTCTCCTTTTCTTTCCATTTCTGTGAGTTTTACTCTACACAATTTTCATTATCCCCAATTAGACTTGTGCAGATGGTTCTAGCTGGTATCCCTACCTTCTCTCCCCATTCCAATCTGTCCTCATCTAATTTTCCAGACTAGTCCGTCTAAAGTATGGCTCAACTACTGACACCAAGGTCCCTCTGCCACTGGGCCACATCCCTGCATTTGCACCAGCCCCTCCCCCCTCACTCTTTCTTCCACCAACCATTCCGAGTTGTCACAAGCCCAAGTTCCCCAGAGCGTCCCAACTGCCCACATGCAACCCTCCTTCCTGGAATTTAACTGAAAACAGGTGAGGCAAAAATAGGTTTACAGTTGTGAGTACCCAAAACACAGAGTTTGTTCTTGTATTAGTATGTATTAACTATTGTATTATTTTCCATACAAATCACTGTAAGCCTACTTTTGCTCCACCCTGTACATGCAAGACCCATTAGACATCTGAACAGATTCTACTTTGAATGGCCACTGAAGTATTTTGTGGGTGTGCATTTCCTCTCCCACGTGGTATTTTGATTGGCAAGTGCATTTGTATCCTCATAGCCCTGAGGAACAATCTGACACAGCGTGGTCCATGGTCAGCAATGGTTCAATCCAGGTCACGTCCAAGTCGTTCCCGGGATAGCTCTGTACGGGTGAGAGGCACGTATCTCTTTACCTGTAATTTTTCAAGGAGGTCCATGTTTTGCCTTTTCAGTTGGTTATTGGCCCTCTCCAGCTTCTCCAGAGGTTCGCTGTCCTCGCAGGCATACGACGCTTCCTGAAGCTCATCCTGCAGCACGTGATATTCCACCTCATAGGCATGTAACTGTTTAGAAATATCCATCTCAAAAACCTGCCGTGAAAACACCACGGGTTAGTCTGGCCTTCAGTGTGTATACCCAGATATGGCCTGCGTATCTGGTGTATTTCAGAGAGATTTTCAAATACTTATTAATGATAAATAGTATGACATAACAAAAGGAAGAACAGCAAGCATGGATGTCAATGTAAGGACAGACAGATTATTTCTACACACATGAAACATTCTCATCATGAGGCTGAAACACTTACAATAAGTTAATGTTCAGAGATATTTTGTAACCAAAATATACATAATCTAGTAACTATCTCCCAACATGTAGCATACCAGGTAAACAACATTAGTTACTAAGTAACTCCTTTCTATGTTAGAGATCATCTTTGCTGATTAGTGAGCTGCATAGGGTATTTCTACAATAATGAGATCCAAAGCCCTTCCAATTATTTGTCGATGGGGCAGAAAAGTCTCATACATTCTGATCTATTTGCTAATCCATGTGAACCTCTTAGGAGACACCTACATATTCTACCATATAGAGAATCTTCAAAATTGTATGCCCTGATCACTGCACAGAGGTTGTATGGGGTTTAATCAGGCTGCCTCTACTCTCCCACAATGCCACCAAATAGGAAGACAGGTTATTTATCATTACAAGACAGGTAACCCCTCCTAAGTCTGAACTTGTGAGGGAAGATGAGGTAGCAGCTGCCATTTAAGCAATGGTGTCTACACTAATGCTGTGGAGAGAAAAGAACCCACAGAGAATCTGACTTACCCTTCTAGAATCAGATACACTCAAATCTTCCCATTTAAATGAGATTTCTAGACAATATTGTTATACCTCTCAAACAAGTATCACTTTTTCCCTACTGGTGTACATGGTCAAAACAGACCATGGCACAGTCATTAAAAATGATGGTATGGAGCTATATTTATTGGCATGAAAGAATGTCTAACAGTTAATAAATATTTTAATTAAAAATCAGGTTACATTGCCCTGGCTGGTTTGGCTCAGCAGTTAGAGCATCAGTCTGTGGACAGGAGGCTTGCAGTTCAATTCCTGGTCAAGGGCATGTACCTGGGTTGCAGGTTGAATCTCTGGCCCCAGTTGGATCATGTGGGAGGCAGCTAAGTGATGTGTCTCTCTCCCATCAATCTCTCTCTCTCTCTCTCAATCAATCTCTCTCTCTCTCTCTCTCTCTCTGTCTTTCCCCCTCCCTCCCTCTCTCCCACTCCTTCTAAAAAGCAATGGAAAAAATATCCTCAGGTGAAGATGAACAGAAACAACAACAAAAATAAGGTTACACAACAGCATGTGTAGTAAGATTTCACTTATGTAAAAATATATACATATTTATATGTGTATATAAGTAAATGGAGATGTGTAAAAGGAAGTTTAAAATGTTTTACATCTCAAGGTGTCAAAAATGAAGGAATTAAGCAGTACAAATTAGCAATCATAAAACAGTCATGGGACTGTACAGTACAGCATAGAAAATATAGTTGATAATGTCATAGTAACTGTGTATGGTGCCAGCTGGGTACTAGATTTATCAGGGGGTCACTTTGCTGAGCTATGTAAATGTCTGACCACTATGCTGTACACCTGAAACCAATACCTCTGTATAATATTGAATGTCAACTGTAACTGAAAAAAATTTTTAATTTAATTTTAAGGTGTCGAGATTTGTAGTTACTTTTATTTTCTTCTTTGTACTTTTCTGCATTATTTGCATTTTTACTGTGACCACAAACAAAGCTCATCAGAGTCTCCTTTAATATCACTTCTTTCCATGATTAATTAGCTCTGATTGTTAGAAAAGTCTTTCTAATATGAAGTCCAAATCCACCTACCTATCAATTCTATCCATTATTCCTAATAATAATCCCTAAAGCCAGGTAATTCCCTCATTATTTTAATATCAGATATCACCTCTCTCTAAAATCACAAACTCTGGTTGCCAGTCCAAAATGATGTTTCTGAAGAATAAATACATACATAAAAATGTGAAAAAAAACACTGTACTTTTCAGCTTATAGACATTTTAGCAAGTAAAATATGTTCATAGATATTTACAGAATAATCTATTATGATTTAGATTTCATGTAATGGACAGAAAATTTTACATCTAATAATATGAGCTGATGTCCTAGTGTGAATTACAGTGTACAAAATTTTTCAACCTAATTGGTTATATTTGCTCCTATAAACAATATGAAAAAGAAAGAGGATTATTATTGTTGTTCCAATTTTGTAGGGAAAGGAGCGAGGTTGTAATTTGCCCAAAGTCACTCAGCTAGTAGTTAGTAGGCACCAGAACGAGATCTCAAACTCCCTTTACCCTGCTCTCAATTTGGTCCTTTATCTGCCATCCCAGTGCCTTTAGTAAGAGGACAAACTTGATCAATACTCATAAAGGATGACAGCCTATCTACAAATATGGTCTTAAGCCTGTTCATGTCATCTGAACATCAACATATAACAACCACCTGCCTGGACCCCAGGAAAGCAGGGAGTAGACCCATTCTCTGCCCTTATCCATTTTGCTGGACCCTGGGAGGCAGACCCGGGTTCCCTGAACTTCCCTACAGGTCATTTCCTGCTGGCTTCTGGTAGGGCATGGCCAGTGGGAGGAGCCAGCAGGAGATCAGAGGGACAGGAGGAAATGGTTGGGGGTTTCTACCTTGCTCCTAGCCTGCCTAGCTCACCAACAACCTCCAGAGATCCCTCCTCCACAGTCCCTGCACTTGCTGGGGCTGGTAAGTGTTACATCCTCCCCACCCCCTCAGCACCATGGGTGTGCACAGCCTCCCTCTGTGACTAGTTCCTGGGCACTGGCCATCGACTTCTGGTCCCCTTAACACTGCCTACAACTGTGTAACTACACGATCACTGGAATCATCAATGGCAGACTTCATTTCCGGCAAGCGACCCTGATTACTACAGGTCTCCTCATTTAAGCCTCACAAACCCCTTGAGCTGAGTACTGTCTCATTTTGGAGGTGAGAATACTAGGTTTCAGAAGATGAAGTGTGCAAGCCAAACAACTACCAAAGAGCTAGAAGATGATGCCAAATCCGTACTGTTTAATTCCAAAGCCCCATGCTCTTGCCACAGGTATTCCTTGTATTTTTAACAGAATTTAAAGTTAAAAGGTATTACCAAGGTAAGTGGGTTTCATTTTAATTAGTTCTTCCTAACTCTACCAGTTCTATCTTCAGTCTCCCCACAGGTCTACACTGCAAGATTCCTGAAAACTCTTTGTGTAGCACTGAGCCACTTTTTCTGTGGACAGCCACACAGAAAATGTCACAATGTAGAAAGTTCACAACAGTCTCATTTCTAAATAAAATATATCTGATAAAAAAAATTTAAAAAAAAAACCCACACAGCTGTCAAGCAAAAATACATCTTCATGCTAAAATATTTAATATAGAATTAATTAGTAGAGGAAACTGACTTATAATCTTGTACTTATTATTATTATTTAAAGCATACCTGGGTGATAATTTTTTCCATTTCAGATGTATTCATATCAGGTAGTGTGCTTTTAAGAAATTCAACAATATTTTCAAAGTTTTCACATTCCATTATAAGTGTCTCCTGGCTGCTCAGTAGGCTGAGTGCAACCTTGAATATAACTTCAGTTCCCTGAAGAAAAATAATATCTAAACAAAGAGATAATGTTCATAATCAAAATTATGCATCTACTATTGCAAATAGCATGCTCTTTCTTGGTGCTAATAGTGTGTGTGTGTGTGTGTGTGTGTGTGTGTGTTTACTGTGTTTTTTGTTTTTTTTTTAATTACTGCAGTAAAACCACCAAATATTTTGCAAGAGAAAACTGATCAAAATCACCTAGATTTGACAACAAAATATATGACTAAAACAAACCAACAGATGTTCCTCCTTCTTACTAGAACGTATCATCAAAATATCACCCTTAAATGCATAGTTAGCTCTATAAATATACATTAAAACATCCAGCTACATTGTCAATTCAGCAACTGTTGTTTTCAGAGCACAAAACTAAAATTCAAAGTACTATATATAAATAGAACAAATTATTTGTTTGATCTTTATAACACATATTTATGGAAACTAAACTTTGACAGAAACTGTAAAAGGAAAGACCCACAGGAAATCATAGCTATCAAGTAAGAAGCTTATCTACAGGCAAACATAAGGGTTTAAAAAAAATAAGATTATTATCTTAATAAGTCATATTGAAAAAAAGTATACATTTCCCTTAGGCCATTTACAATGTATAAACTAGACATACTGAGTTATGTCAGTTGAAGTTATGTCAAAGTACTCTGGCAGCACAAAAATCAGCGCAATCTAATTAGCAGAATAGAAAGAAAGCACAGCATCGAAGGCTCTGTTCCCTCTGGAGCTTTTAAAGAGGGAACTGGAAAACGACTGCTCCGCTCCTCTTGCACATGCATCTTTCCCTGTCCTGAGAGTCTCTGTTGTTCAGTCAATTCAAAGGAAAGGACTGAGCAGCTCCGGGAGCGCGGGCAGCATCGCTCGTGCGTGTTCTCGTCGGAGAAAGCAGACTACTAGGGAGATTTCTTCCTTGAATTCTGTACCAAGCTTCCAAACATAAGTCAGAGAGAGAGATGCCCTGAAACGTTATAACATCATTTTGATTTGACATACTATTCTCTGAGAAGAATAGAGAGAGGGAATTTATGGAGGACCTAGTCATAGGAACCCAAGCTCCAGAGAAAACTTCACTGGTGAAAAGCAGTCATGTATATGCCACACCAAAGAGAAATCAGATGAACATTTGATTTCGTGCATCTTGATTTTACTCTTCTGATACTCTTTGTCTGTAAACTGCACTGCTGCTAAGACAGCCTTTAACTCTTTAAACCACAGCTCCCAATAAGAAAGACATTGGGGGCTGTGCATTGTGATCTGGTATATGTTTACATATTACACATATACCTAAAAATCTAAAGTTTCTCCAAGTAATGTTTTTCTTTATTATTTGTAAAACTCTCTGATATTTTCACAGTATCCTATTGATTTCATTTTTTATCTAATGCTGGTAATGACCTACAAATGGGCCAATACAACTTGACCAAAAGCTCCAATTTAGCAAAAGCACAGTTGCGAATATTAACTACTTGCACCATGAATACCAGGGAGATGAGCAGAACGTAAAAATTGTGGGAGCCCTTTCTGAGGTCATCAAGGTCCTAAACATCTAGTAAAGAGTTGTTTCTTTAACAATATTTGCTTTTTAAATAATGAACTCAGACAAATCTAACAAAAGACTTGGGAACAGATCTAAGGGCCCCCCAAAGGAGCGTATCATGTCATACTCTCTCCTTATTCCTGGTCTGAACGCTATGATGGAGCTAGACAGGCACCCAACAACCTGCCAGGCCCTGCTGCCTGTGCCCAGCGCTTCTCCCTGAGCCACCGGGTCGTGGAGACTGGCACCACCACTGGCACAAAAGGAGAGTCACGTAAGCAATGCATTGCAGTCCCCTTGTTAACAAGTCAGATTAGGAAATGCCACTAATATAGGTATTTCCATTGACCCAGTCAGAGAACATGTTTCTCCACATTTTGCATTCAGGTTGAAGAGGACAATGGGGAAGAAAAAACAAAACAGAGGTCAGAAGGATAAGTATGAAAATTTGGAAAATGATACAGAGCAACTTCTTAGTTTGGATTTTTTTTTTTAAGTATACTCTGGCTCTGGCTGGTGTTCTCAGTGGTTAGAGCATAGGCCTGGGCACTGAACGACCATGGGTTTGATTCCTGGTCAAGGCCATGTACCTGGTTTGCAGGTTTATACTCCAGCCCAGCTCGGGGCACATATGGGAGGCAACCAATCAATGTGTCTCTCTCACATCACTGTTTCTCTCTCTCCCTCTCTCCCCTTCCTCCCTTCCACTTTCTAAAAATCAATGGAAAAAAAATCCTTGGGTGAGAATTAACAACAACAAAACAAAAATATTCTAATTTTTAGGTATAAATGAAAGTAAGGGCTCCAATACGGCTAACTCAAATAGAGAGCCCAATTCCTCTTCCTATTTTGCTTGTAATATCAGTTTTATCTGAGACCAATATGGTTTCAAACTACTCTCAGAAAAGAGCCAGGCACATTTACTCAATTCAACCGGCAATCTGCTATTCTGTGTGACCCATGATAAAACAACTGGCTAGCAGTACATTCCTTAGAATAAATAACACTGTTCCACTTGATCACAGGCACCTCTTACCAAAAACTCTGGCTACAAATCCTAACGGAAACTGAGAGGCAAACAGTGTGAGGAACCAGGGGGCAGCATAAAGACTGGGGCTGATTTCGTTTTCTTCCAGATGGTTGTAGAGCTCTCTGTGATAGTCGTGAAGGAGTCTGGACAGCTGGTACATCTGAATCTAAGGTTAATGTGGAGAAGAAAATAAAATATTATGCATTCATCTGAGGGTGCAAAAAAATACACAAACTTTCCTTTTCATTACTCTAACATTGAATGACTAATTCATATGTATTTAAATAAATAAAAGCAGCATTCCTTTATTTTTATTGTTGGGTCGAAGTTGATATTAAAGTTGAATTTCACTTAACTGAGGTCATAAAAGCAGGTCACAGAAAGGTCATGTGAGACCACTGGGCAAGTTTCGCCATCACGTGTGTTTTTGTTTAACATACGTATGGAAATGGTCATGTCCCCTCATGTAGGAAGGCGCTGCTTTTGGAGTGTAATCAGAACTGTGCTGGTCCAGGGCTCTCATGGAAAGCCCACTCGAACTTCAGACCAGTGCCGGAAAAGCCTCCATTCTAAAGAATCTACCACATTCCGCTCAGAAGCAACGCTGGCCTCTGTCTGCTGGGCCCGGCGTCTGCTGTACGACGGAGCTCTGGCCTAGGCCATCAGGGAGTCTCCATGTGAGGACACTGCTGGCTTCCCGTGTCATGGACCAGAAGCCCGAGATGTGATTTCTAAAGTCCAAGGTACTCCAGCTGCTTCCTTTCCATGACAAAGCTGCCTAAAGCAAAAACTGCAGTCTAAATGTTTCTAGTATTGAAAGAAGAAATGACTTCATGTGGCTTACTGGTGTTTCAAAAAAATTATAAAGACGGCACATAGCAACTTTTAAACTCACTTTGGGAGTAAGGTTGAGCAGTAATAAATAATAAATAAATGTATGAATTGGACTTTGATTCATATTTTTATCCACACAGTAACAGATTGAGTAGTGGCTCCTTGATTAGTTATATCAGCTTGACACTTTAGTATGAAATGGATACAATATCTTATAAAATCTAGCAGAACTTTTTTCACTAGAAGGTATCACAAAATACCATCTTTAAATAGTTAGCTCTATGAAAATACATTAAAATACCCAGCTATATTGTGAATTCAACAACTGTGGTTTCCAGAGCACAAAACTAAAATTCTAAGTACTATGTATAAATAGAGCTAATTATTTGTTTGATCTTCATCAATAACACATATCTGTGGAAACTAAGGTTTGACAGAAACTGTAAAAGGAAAGAAAGCCACAGGAAGTCACAGCTATAAAATAAAAAGCTTAGCTACAAACATAAAGTTTTTAAAAAATGAGATTATCTTAATAAACCATATTGGAATAAAAACATGTATTTCCCTCAGGCCATTTACAATTTATAAACTAGACACTCCGAGTTATATCAATAGAAGTTATGTCAAAGTACTTTGGTAGCACAAAAATCAGAGAATCTACTTAGCAGAATAAAAAGAAAGCATAGCATCAAAAGCAATCTGTTCTTGTTTAGTTATGCTCGTAATCCAGAAGCAACAATTCAATGTTTAATTTTTTTAACGGACCTTACTTTCCTCCTACTTTCTAAACTAGGGGTGGAGAACATTCCATCAGGGCATATTTACATTAGATTTCCTTTGAAAAAGGCAAATAAAATCACAATTCAGTCTTCTTTCAAAGAGAGCTTTAATAATAAAATGCTATTTTCTAAGAATAAATAACTCTTCCTTTCTACCTTATAGATAACATGACAAATCTGCAGAGGGAAGAGGGGACAGATGAGAAGGGTGGAGCAATGAGAAGATGGAAAAAACTAGAGACCAAAGACTTCATATGAAAAGATATAGCCCTGGCCAATCTGGCTCAGGGTTAGAACATCAGCCTGTGAGGCAAAGGGTCATGGGTTCAATTCCGGTCAAGGGCACGTGCCTTGGTTGTGGTTCAATACCCAGCCCTGGTCAGGGTCATGAGAGAGGAAACCAATCAATGTATCTCTCTCACATCAATGTTTCTCTCCCTCTCCCTCTCTCCCTCCTCTTTACTCTATCTGAAAATCAATGGAAAAATATCCTCGGGTGAGGATTAAAATTTAAAAAGATATAATACTTTTATCAGTCAACAAAATAAACAGCAGACACAAAAAAATGATGAGACATAGTTAGAAGAGACCTCAACCCCCTCCTTTTACAGATAAGGTAACTGAGACAGCCTTCAGTGCCTGAGCTCACATGTGCAGGTTATCAGAAATCGTACCAAGCAATTTCCAAGGCCATTGCTGCTTCACTTTTGAAATTCATATCGATGGCATAAAAAACACTTCTTGCTCTAGAAAGTGGAAATGTGTTGTATGTCACTTTACAAAGCAAAAGGATCTACTCTCCTAGAATAAGGTTCCCTATCTGGTGGCCAATAAAAATGATACCACCGAAAATTGCATGTCAAATTGATGAGACATGTTAAAATAAATTTTAAAAATCACTGCATTTTAAAGTGACAGCTTTCTATTTTTGGACTGAAATACAATACTCACAGGTACTCTCCAGTCTTCGAGATTATAGCGATAGCTACCAAACTGGTGTTTCTGGAAATCAGAGCTATTTAATTCCTTACAAGGGCACGAATGTTTCCTATCCAATATGGAAAAAGTAAAAGCTTCCGTAGTCATTGTTATTATTTCACTTGTGGAATGTTTTCAGACATATGAATAGTCCTCCATTAGGAAGCACCTCACTGTATCTGATTTACAAACCCCGGGGCACGTCCTGAAGGCGAACGTACACCTGAACATCAAACACTGAGAGCAAAGCCTACCCCATAGCAAAAATGTCATCAAAAAGAAAAGTGGAGCATTCCTCCACTCGTCCTCTCAAGAAAATCCCATTTACTATATTATTCATAAAACAAAAAGTCCTTTTTTTTTGCCTGTGGATTGGCACCTAAAACATTAGATGAGAAAACTGATCGCTGGGAAGCAGGAAACAGTACCTCTTCAAAGCACTTTAAGTATTTTACTTCTTACCTAAAGCATAATATTATGACTAGCTAGGTATTATGCCTACCTCACTTCAAAGCAGGAGAACACTGACATAACTCTCTTTAAAGTCTTCCTTTATATTTTACTTCTGAAAGCTTTAAATTGCAAGGTAGTGGTTGTTTGGGATATCGTATCTATAGATAAAATCTAAACTTCTTGTTAGAAACCTATACACTAAGGAAAGTGAAATTTAAACGAGAGAGGAGGAGTGTGTAAACAGGGAGTCCGAAATAGGCTGCAGATGGCAGTAGCAGCCCGGCTGGTGTGGCTCAGTGGACTGAGCAGTGTCCCATGGACTGGGAGGTCCCAGTTTGATTCCCAGTCAGGGCACATGCCTGGGTTGCAGGCTCAATCCCCAGTAGGGGGCGTGCAGGAGGCAGCTGATGGATATTTCTCTCCAACACTGATGTTTCTATCTCTCTCCCCCTCCTCTCTCTATAAAAGATGGCAGAGCAGTGAATACATACCCTTTTTAACCAAAAAATCTGAACAGTGCTTCTTCAGAGCCTGCTGAGAAAAGCAGGCTGAAGCAGTACCACCCATTTTGAATACTTTTTCCTAGTTAAGGACCTCTCTGAGCTGAAGATAAAAGAGGGGAGACAGGGTGAGCTCAAGAAGAACCATGACATAGATACCTGTCATGTGTGCATGAAGTAAAAGAATAAAGACATTATATTTCCAGATTGCAAACAAAAGACCTATGAGTCTTTGCAACTGACAAGTTGAGAAAAAGTGAATATAGATGACTTGATTCTTCTTCCACATCACATGTGGACTTAGGGGATAGAGACCTGAGTACCCACGATCTTTCTTGAATTGCTTATTTACTCACTTCAGGAACTTGATGGAAAAGTTATTCTGCACGTGAAGGTCCTACACTTAGAGGTTTAGCAAAACAGCAAATTCCACGGACGGAAACATGCTTTAGATTTATCCAAGTTCCAAGACAATGGGCCTGAATGTCTTCAAACCCACTGGAATTCAGAAGAGGGCTGCTGCTAAGGTTTTTGGTAAGAACATTACTCGCTGCTCGTGAACATCTACAGCCTCACCTGCAGCGACATCATGTCAGGTCTGTACTGCTTGCGGAAGCCCAGGTCGTACATGAGGAATTTCAGCATTTCAAAGGCTTGGTCTTCACTCATGTGCAAAAGCAGGACTCCGGCCACAAAGCTGATCCCCTGACAGTAACCCACTTCTTTGTCCAGCAAGGAGTAGGCTTTCAAGAGGTTGAAGAGTGACAGCTGCCCTGCACCGAGCTGCGTTGAAAAATAAGGGTGAGTAGGAAATGTCCGTCCTGCAGAGGAAAAGAAAAGAAATAGTCTTGAGACGTCCTGATGCTTTGGAGACCAGAGCAAAGTTGCAATTCAGTGATTTCCAGGAATACACATTCTTTTTCAAACCAGTGAGAGTTGCTTGGTGTACCCATTGAACTAAGTATGTCTGTCTGTCTGTCTCTCTCTCTCTTTAGTGCCAAGTCTCACCTTGCAGAGCACCATCCTAGCTCCACCTATAAAATAGGGAAGTAAACATTTTATGCTAACCAGAACTTCTATCTAGAAAAAAAAAAAAAATCTAGAAACAAATCAAGGATATATGCAGAAGAGATCTTGAGAGGAAAAAAATATAAAATTTATTCTAACTATAAATCAAAACAAATCCTACGGTCACATAAAGACCACCCGCTAACTGAAACCAGAATTCTCTAAGAGGTAGTGTATGATTTCACAGGAAATCTTGGTAGTCCTGAGCAGATTTATTCCTGCTTCTTTTGGAATATGACACTGGAGGGCCTTGGGGGGATTGTTCGGTTTTACGTTCAGTCTATCATTCAGGAAATACTTATATTTAAAACATCCTTTGCTCTCTGTTTCTTAAACCACCTCCATGAACCATGTAGACCTCCCCCCCCCCATTATATCCCAAAAGGACAAGGAAAGGAAGGGTTCAAGGTGATATAAAAAAAAAAGTGCCTTTTACCATTCACCTCTGGGCATACAATGACCATGGTGATGATACTTGAGCCAGCCTATACAATCAGCCCTGGTCACCAAGATGCTGGCACAAAACAGTGACATGAACCCATCTGCACCACCCAAACTACGGACACCAGTGTGGGCCCTTCCACGTGCCACAAAAATGAAGAAGATGCTAGCGTCCTTGTAAAACCACTACTCATGTCTGTTAAAACTTGTAAGAATTCCAGATTTTTAACTGATAAGATTAATTCTACGGAGCAAGGGAAGGGAGGATATGAGAAAATAACAAGAATGCGCTGAGGAAACACAGATGGCTGAGAGTCACATCAGCACTTTTTTAAATGATCATTTTACTTTCTCAGTCAAAATGTTTGCTAAAGAAAACTATACATAAGTTATATAAGTAAACTCCTATACTCTGATCCCACCATCTCCTTCTCTCTGTTAGGACATCTTGACCAGCCTGGAATGCATCATCCCAATTTCCAGTCTCATCATCAACCTCCAGTCACAGAACCACAGCGGAGTCCACAGGGATCGCCTAGTCCAAGTCCTCATTTCAGAGACAGGATTGCGACTCAGAAGCAAATTAATTTGCCTAAAACCACAGTTCAGTGGTAAAATCAGGACAAGAACCGATGTTTTCAGTTTTTTTCTCCCTTCTAATTCTGTTGGGTACAAAAATATTAACCGACTTGGGTCTCTTTCACAACAAAAGCTATTGCCTAAAAGGAACAGAGGTCAAAACTAGATTTTGGCCATTGGTTTTTATATGCCCTAATATAAGGTGACTCCAATAAATGCTAACCCCTCGTTTTCGCAAACAGGCTCAAGTAACATACCTTTCTTTTCACTGTAAATATATCACCTTTTAGGGATACAGATCAAATAGTCAAATCTCAATGTGCTACATGTAATCCAAAAATTTTGATAGTTTAAAGTAATAAAATATAATATGTTAATTATGAGAAAAACTAGACAATATAGTTTTTAAGTCATACTATTTTTACTTTCTTGTTATTTGAAATTCAGTAGGGCTTTTATGATGCTGTCACTGGAAATTCTCCCCCAGGTCATAATTACCCATTCATATAACATTAGGACAGCTCATTTTTCTTTCAGCCTATAGGGATGTATTTATGATTTCCACAACATAACCACTTATTACATTGCTGTTAAAAGTCATATTCAAAGGCTCGTTTTCAACAATATGTCCAGGTACATTTAGTCAATCTTTGTTAAAAAAAAAATTTTTAGTAGTCCTTTTAACCTACTCCAACCTAGCTCAGAATCAGCGCTGATGGAGGTAACTCTCTACCCCAAACAAAAGCCAGTTATTCAAAACACAGGAACTGAGTTCCCCACAATGTGGACTTTATAGTGATTCACAACTAAGGTAAGTCTCTTTTCCGAGGGTAAGTCTGGGAACAGAAACGTCGCCTCCCACACAGGCATTTATGGCGTCTTCAACTAGATACAAAACCAACTTGGCCTCCCCAAAGGAGAAAGTCAGCATCTCCACAGAGACCAACAGATCCGCTTTCTCAGCACCAAAAGCCGAACGGAAGCTCTCCAGACAGACCTGTGGCTGACTCGCGACTAGCCATCACCGGGACGAACATACCCAGATCCACGAGGATGGCGTGCTGCTGCGCCGTGAGCTGCTTCAGGAGCTCTTTGTAGGACGTCTCCGGAGGCTGCTGCTTGTTGGGCAATCTGTGCCGTAGACGATACTGCAGCGCCAGGAACTGCCAGATTTCTCCTCGGCGACTTTTGGGAACACCTATAGCCCGAGAGAAAAAGCAGGGTCTTGAACTCTGGAAGGAAGCCGCTGCGGCGTGGCTGGTGAACCAGGCGGTGCTGCGAACCGTCCGCTGTGCCGGCCCGCGCGCCCTCCGGCGGTCACCGCACAATGACTGGCAAGTTCGATCCTGTGGCTGCCGACCTCTTGCGAAAGAAAACCTTCACATGACCACGATAATAATGGCAATATAGACAACGTCAGCCAACGTTGAGTGAGCACCTAAGGCAACATTTACTGAGGGGGCCTCACTACTAAGCATGGTAAATGTGCTCAGGAAACAGCCCAATGAGAGAGGTAACTGCTATTATCCCCACTTCTCAGATGGTGAGGCTGAGGCAGACAGAGGCGAAGCGACCTGCCCAAATCCACACAGCGAGAATTAGAACTCAGGAAATCTGGTTTCCGAGACCACATGCTGAAATCCTGAAATGTATGACTGCCTATTATCACCTTTTATTTGGTTTGAAGCTGGTAACACATGCACATCTCCATATGATAACTTCTAAATAGTTGTCATAAACAAGTAACTTTGTAAAAGAGAATTAAATAGCATTCCTATAGGGTCGTAGAAGAATCAAATAATAAAAACGAGAAATACAATATGACGGTATAACCGGAGCGCTCCTGAACAACATTCGGTCTTTAAGAAAAATACTTCTAGCCTATATGATGAAGCATTAACTCCATGTCTGAAAACTCCATGTCTGAATTGTCACAAGCAATTCAGCGTGTGCTACAATCATGCTTTCTGTGCCAGGGGATATGAAGTGAGCACTGGGAGGGACAGAATTCAGTTCTCACAGAGCAGCTCATTTTATTTCACTGAGTGTTTTTTCAGTTTAGACAGACTAGATCTGGCCTACGTTCCTGAGCCCCAGCTGGTTAAAGGAAGGTTTAATGGCAATAATCTTTTGGATCACAAAGCCACAGTTTGCATAAGCTAAAGGTATTCTTGTCCAAAAGGGATAACTCAGGCTCACCGGCATGATTCGTAGGGCCCTCCACAATGAACCTCCAAACCACCTTTTTCAGTCCAGTTGCCTCCTATTCCCACCATGCGCTAAGTGGAAGAAGCGTATGGTTATTTACACACCTCTAGTTTCTTACCGTTGTCTTATGGAAACCCAGGCTCCGCTACTTGAATGCCTAGTGTATTTCTGCTTTTATGGATGAGCCTGAATGCCATTCTTCTGCTGAAGATCTCCCTGACATTTCTAGGAGTAATCACCCCCTTTTCACATACTATTTGACTCATACTCTACTTATAACAGTGCCACATTAGATTACAGTTAGCTCTATACTGTATGTTTGTCTATTTTCCCTACTTCAGTGGTAAGTTCCTTGAGAACAGTGAGCATGCTTTCATCTGTGTATGATGCAGTCCAAGAATATACATCACTATTTAAACATCTGTTGCATGAATGAATGAGTGTATGAAATGTCATTCTTCAAGGGTAATTTTCATTAGCTCGTTAAATGAATTACTGGTAACAAGAGTGGACTGTTTTATTATCCATCTATCTCAGTTTTACAAAAAGGTAGTTCTCTTCCGTTAAACACATATTTGTTGGGCATCTAATATGTAGCAGAGTACAAAGCATGGCACGGAGGGTACCTCATCACTAAGAGAGGAATAAATGCATTCTCAGGAGAATTAGTCTCATTTATTCATTCACCTCTCCACTCAGCCCTTTAGTAAGTAACTTGTGCAAGATGTTGTCTTAGATGCCAGATGTGCACAGCAGTGGAGGGGTAAAAAAAACCATCCCAACAGATGCGTACATCAATATAAAATTACAAATCATGATAACTACAATGAAAGGGAAAGAATCACAAGAAAGAATAATAAGATGAAGCTCATTCCTTGTGGTGGAGGAGAGGGACAGCCATACTATGTCTAAGGAAATGGTATTTGAACGGAGAGCTGGAGGATAATAGGATTCTCAGACTGGGAATGTGGGCAGCAATCTCTTCGGGAGGAGGAATTTGGGTGAACGCCCTGAGAGGGGCGCAGGAATGGGGGGAAGGAGGAGTGGAAAGAAGATGGGACAGAAAGAATGGCAGATGGGAAAGGGGGGCAGGAAGCATGGTAAGGAAGTGTACAGAGGCTGCAGCTTTCCACACAAGAAATAGCCTGGGACATACTGGGACCCACAGTCTCTCTGGAGCACATGATACAAGGTAGCAAGAGGCAGGAAGCGAGATCAGAAAGATGAAGGAGAGATTATGGAGGGTCTAGGACACAATGCTCAGAAGTTTGAACTGTATCCTATAAGGAATGGAAAGATGAGAACCCCTAAAACATCTTTAAAAGTCATACATCTCCCACACATTCTATTAAACAATTTCTTGTCTCCCAAATAATGCATTCAATGAATAGTTTAGGATTTCCATATCTTCAAGGAAACACACCAATATATTAGGCTTGTAAATGTAGCGTCTTACAAAATTAATCTTAATTTACATTTAGTTACGCAACAGTTTCACACGTTACTATAACCCTTTAAAACCAGATTCGTTGTCAGATTTCTTAGGATTTTTTTGGTGGGGGGACTTTTATTTTACACCCAGTTTATGCAGGCCTTGGAGATGCTCAATATATGTAATCTGGGTCACAGAAACGCACCCAAAGTATGTACGTGTCAGTTTTAATTTTAAACTTACGATGTTTAAATATCAGTCATTTTATATGGCAGAGCAGCAATGCAATAGAATGGCTAAATAAAAGTAAATTTTTCCAAAATAAATAAATGAAAGGAAAACTGATTGATGAATAAGAATATAATTCTGTATATATAAACACATACATGTAGGTGAATATACACATACATACACACGTACATGTATGTAAATAAACCCTTCAAAGCAAATGATGGCAATGAGTCAAGTTTATCAGTCTGAATTATGTTTATGCATATGATCAAAGATCTGTGCCCATGATCGGCTCCTTCCTTGGTGAACAAGGACACAGAGCTGAGAACAGTGGGTGAAGGAGGCAGGGACGTCTGCAAAAAGGTGTTTGCTCTCTCCTCGGGGACACTCCTCCATGAGCACCATTTCTTACCGAGGGAGTCACTGGCTGCTGGCAGAAATAATGACTGCCCTTTTCTTACAGGTAAAGCATAAAGACAAAAGTATGCCCGAGGTGCATGAATAAAAAGAAAAAAATCTCTGAGGCTTCTCGGAAAAAAAAAGATTGAGATGTTCCAGAATACCTTCTTTGAGAGAAGTGTGAATGTCTTCCATGTCACATTTGATTTTTCCTCTGCAGTTTAATAACTTCTTATCCCAGGTTATTAAGACCTCCTTCTGACATACGCCAACTTCTTCATAGTCCAGTTTAACTTTTCTGGATCGGAGCTCATCTCTGCTCGCTGAGAAAAACAAGAGAATTTATCTAGGACCGATGTGTTTTTAAAACATAGTGTTTTTATCATTTTATTGTACTTGTAAAACTTTATCAAATGACTTTTAGGAATCAACCACTAACATTTTCTCAAAAAGAAAACTTTTAAAAAACTGAGAATACATAAAAGGTTCTCAAACTTTGAGTCATTTCCTGCAAGGAAATGTCAGGAATAACTTCCTAAAGAGTTTTATTGTGTATATCATGGACTGTAACTCTGCTGAACATAAAAACAAATCATGTTTCCTATGCTGTAAATTTCAATTTGTTGATAAATGTGATAGCCTCAGAAGTGACAACTTGCATCATTTCAAACACCATTAAAGTGTTAATATTTTATGTTTGACACCTATAAGAAAACAATGCTTCATGCTCACCTTGACTTCCAGAAATATTTGACCATGATAGCCTGATATATTTTTATAACTATTTCTGGAGTTACCAACACTGCCCTTAACAACAGTGAGTTATGTGTTCCTGTGCTCATTTTGAATCATCTTAAAGAGGAAAATTTATCTTACTGAAGTTATCACTGCTTCCATTTTTCAAATAGAACAAAATTATCTTTCATTTGATGGTCTAAAATATAAGCCCAGGGCTCATTAAAAGAAATGCCCATAAAAGTAACCACTTCTTGACTTGGTCTTTATTTGATTTCAAAGTAGAGATGGAAGGAAAATTATGAAAGCATGTTCTTTCTCTTCGATTCGTATCACATTGCACGGGAGTCTCAACCACCTTACCTTCTGCAACACAAATCTTAGTCATGCCTCCAAAGTCCTCGACAGCACAAAAACAACAGCAAAACGAGCATTACTCTTTACTTAATTGCATTTGAAACCTTTTCAAAAGAATGTAAGTATCTTATAATATACCGCTATTCAAGCAGAGCTGTAAAACTTTCTACTTACAAGTCCAGACAGGATGAAAAAAATAATAAATCGCACTACAAAAATATTCCTCCTGGATACCACTAGATGGCTTTCTAACATAATTTAGCTTTGCCCCTCAATATTTGCTTTATATTCCTCTGTGATAATCAAATAAAAGTTCATTAAATCGAATAATAAATACAATCTTACATCTAACTTTACTAATGATTTTTCTCACAATGAACAGAGTGTAATATAACCTCAGGTTTTCTTTTTCTCCAATCTTCTCTAGACCATTGTTTTCATTTAAAATAATAATAAGCACCTACTTGCCAGTTGCAAGCCCCGAAGACAAACTGCTGGGTAAGAGCAGTTCATCTCTGCCCTCAACTGGTTCACCAGGCACGAATAAAGCACCACCAAGAAATGATTGTCTATTGGCTAGAATTTGATAAGCTAAACTATTTTTTGTCTTTGTTACATAAGCGGGGAAATAAATATAGAACTGATAAAGGTTTCTATAGAATGCTCTAAATGTCACCTCCTTTCTTATGTCAATTTATGTAATATAACTGACCTCAGAATACACACAGTCAGCCCTGGCCGGTATGGCTCAAGGGTAAGAGCGTCACCTGCGGACTAGAGTCCAAGGTTCAATTCCAGCTAAGGGCACGTACCTCGGTTGCTGTTTGTCCCCTGCCCCAGGTGGGGTTGTGCAGGTGGCAACCAATCGATGTGTCTCTCTCACATCGATGTTTCTCTCTCTCCCTCTCTTTCTCCCTCTCTCTCTCCCTCTCTTCCTCCAGCTCTATCTGAAGATTAATATAAAAATATCCTCAGGTGAGGATTTAAAAAAGAGAATACAAAGTCATTTGCATTAAAACATTCTATTTCCCTATACTAACACACATAGTTGAGAAATACTATGGCACTCTGGGAAAAGCCCAAGAACCATGAGAAGTAAATATGAGGTTTAGTACTTGTCTGCCGGTGTATCACTGTGTGACCTTAGGTTAATTCCTTACCCAGCCACGCCAATGACTAACAACTGCAGAATAAGGAAGGGTGCTTCATAATCTCTAAGGCCATTTCCAAAGCAAATAGTCTATGATTGTAAAACTACCCTTTGAAATTTAATATAAGATTCTCCTGCACAGACTCCCAAATGTTAATGAAATATAATTTCATGTTTTAAATGTTTTAGAGGAAGGAACGACAGTCATCCTTTTTTCAACCTCTTTGCTGTTTATGAGTTAGTTCACAATGTAACCAATTGCTTAAAAAAACACAGGATGGGGCAAAAGCAGGTTTACAGTTGTGAGTATGCAAAACACAGAGTTTATTCTTGTATTATTATTTATTAATTATTGTAGCATTTTCCATACGAACAACTGTACACCTACTTTTGCCCCACCCTGTAAATTCAATTCCTTTAAAAAGTTCAAGTGGGCATTCCATTTATCACACTGAGCTTTAAAGCTATGGCAACAGAACTCATTCCATTTTTTTTTTTTTTTTAAGATTTATTTCCTAGGGATATGCAAAAGCTTAGTACTCTTCATTTTGCTAAAATAATAATAATAATAACAATAAAGAAAATAAATTGTGTATTTGCAAACTAAATAAATACTGTAGAAATTACAAAATAAATTGAATAACAGGTATAGTAAGAGGACTCTTAAGTTGGAAGATGAGCACAGAAATGTAAATACCTGTATTTAAAAAGTTTTTCGAGAGGCAACATAATAAAAGCCACTCAGAGACAAACCTGGACTGTACAGTTTCTAAGACTGAAAAGTCAAAGGGCCCACTTAAGCTACATCTTTCATTTTATTAATGTAAAAGACAAGGCTCTTTTAAGTTAAGTGATTTGCCAAAGATAATGGCATTAATACATTTTAGTTCTGTCTCCATATTTTGGTACTGTCTCCACATCTTGTGTGTGATTCTATCAGTACTGGGGTAAATAACATCGATATTTCAAAGTCTGGAAAACACATTCTAAAGCATTTGGTATTCATAAACTTAGCAATAAAGCACCACAAATAGAACAATACTTACTATAAATTATCCAATTACAAATGTAATGGTTTGAATATGATTTTTAAATAGAAAATTTATAAAGCAGTAACAAAAAATAGGAACTTTGATTTGATGATATGTAGTTAATTAGACAGTTAAATTGGATACCATTTATTTGAAATAGTCATATTTCTCCTATTATAAATACAATTAGCCTGAAAGTTGTAAATTATATTCAATAAGAAGAGAATTTGCTTTATCATATTAAAGAGTGTTTTTTTAAAAAGTAATGCACAATGATACTTTAGTCATGGCAAATAACATTGATGATCAAATACATATGGCTGATTACTGTATTATCTACATTCTCTATTACCCAAATATACTCTAAGGGTGCTTGATGTTTCAAATCCATTAAACCAAAATGCAAATACATATCTTAAGCTGGCCTTTCCCACATCATAACCACCTCCCAAAATAGAAATAAGCAATTACAATCCATAGTCTAGTAAAAGTGTGTAAACAGTCCAAGATTGAGCTGTGAATTTAGGGGGCAGAGGGATAGTTGTAACCTACAATCTTAAATTATAGTATCATACCATTTAGCCCTGTTTGAATGGCTAACCTTCAAGTTTCTGGTTTTCTTTTTCCATTCGAAGCAACAAGATTTGTTGGTGAATAGCTTTTCTCCACAAACTCCTCAGTTCTTCTGATTTTTTTCTTTCTTCAACTTTTTCTGGGTCATCATCCCCAGACACGAATATCACCCCCGGTTCCTCCTCCATGGTGGGAGCGAGAGGGGCCAGAGGCAGCAGCTCGTTCCTGTCCAGGCCATCTGCAGAGAGGAAAAGCGTGAGGGGCATTCCACAGAGTAACCCAGACTACAGAAGTCTCCTCTGGAATCCACACACTCTCATCCTATACAGTCCACCTTTAAAGCTTTGCACAAAACCACTTTCCCAGTAACTTAGTTTCTGGAACTAATGGTTAAAGTAAACTCGCCAGCCTGAATTCCCCTTCCAGCTTTCCCTCTCAGAGTGAAATGAAAGCCTGTGTCCTCCACCACTTCCCCTTTCCACACAACGTGACCTATAAGGTAGGTGCTCCGAAATGAACCGGCCTTTCCCCTGAGTTTTAACACTTCTGTAATTCACCTATGTACAGTCTCTGGTTGTGCAAAACAGAAACACTGTGTGCGTATGCGGGAACTCCTAAAGGCCCCATCTACCATTTGAAGCCTTCCAGGGAACAACGGGACTGAGCCATCCGGGCCTGTCCTGGCTCAGACCCCTGCTCGCTCCTCCTGCAACACTCCTACCCAATTCCTGGAGCTCATTTGCTTCTTCTGTTTCAGGCCATCTTTTGTACTGTGGCCAATTTTTTTTTATATTAACAGACATGAACCTGTCTCTCTCGTTTTTTTTTTTTATTCTCACCAGAGGGCATTTTTGCATTTATCTTTAGATAGAGCGGGAGGGAGAATGGGAGGAAGAGAGAGAGAGAAACACCAATGTGAGAGAGACACATCGACTAGTTGTGATCCTCTCTCTTAAAGCATTTCAATGATTGCTTATATCCCAAAGAACTAAGTCCAGACTCCTGGGGAGAGTATATAGACGGCTTCAGACTCTGACCTCATGTAATGTTTCTAGCCTCTCCTCAGTTGCCTGTTCTCTGCGCCTAGTGCTTAATTTCTCATGATTCTCTGACTGCAAAATTCCCTCCAATGACTCTCGAGCTTGGCTAGTTCCTCTTTTTGAGCCATATTTGTCTCAGCAATGAGATCAAATAAATATCTAACTTTTCTGTGAAGTTTTTTCGGACCAGCCTAGAGTTAATTTTATCTTTAGCAATGTCAATTGTTTACTTTTTAAAAATTTATTAATTGACCTCCACTCTTATCCTTATTTTCCTCATAAATAATTTTTAAAATATTTTTACTCTTTCACTCCTGTTTTAGCTTCTTGAGTTGAATATTTAGTACATTGAAGTTTTGACGCTCTTAATTTTAGAAATGCCCTCTAAGTACCACTGAAGTATTATATGTAGGGCTCTGATCAGAGTTTCTAGGGTTTTTCATTTCCAAACACATAAAATATCATAGTCATCCTCTAATTCTTGATTCCTGTCTTTCTTTTTTTAAAAAAATTTTATTTATTAATTTGTTTTTGTTACAGATGTTTGTCATTTTTCCCCCATTGACACCCTTCTCCCCTTCCCCCCAGCCCCATCCCCAGCTTTGTTGTCTATGTTCATTGGTTATGCATACATGCAAGTGAGTTCTGTGGTTTATCTCTTCTCCCACCAACTGCCCTCTCCTCTGAGGCTTGTCAGTCTGTACCCCACCTCCATGTCTCTGGGTTAATTTTGTTTAGCAAAATTATTATATTCCACGAATAAGAAAAATCATTTGATATTTGTCTTTCTCTGCTTGGCTTGTTTTGCTTAGCATAATACTCTCCAGGTCCTTCCATGCCATCTCAAAGGATAAGAGATCTTTATTTCTTACAGCTGCATAGTACTCCATTGTGTATATGTACCACAGTTTTTTAATCCACTCATCTACTGATGGACACTTGACTTTGGGTGGTGCGCATACGGTGCAGTGTACAGATGATGTGTTACAGAGTTGTACACTTGAAACCTATATGGTTTTATTAACCTAAATCACCCCAATAAATTCAGTTAAAAGATATTTTCAAAATAAAAAATAGAAAAGTTAAAAAAATATTTTTGACTTCTTTTCTAGCACTATCATCGTTTCTGGTTTTGGAAGCTCATTCGTTCGTTCGTTCGTTCGTTCATTCATTCATTCATTCAACAAGCATTTACTGAGTGTCTAACACGTTCTAATGCTATCTGAGAAGTTAACCACTATCTCAGATATAGAAAGATAAGTTACTTCTCCACTGGAATACTTAGATCTCTTTGCACACACACCACTGCGTTCCCCGTTCCCTAATTCACATGAGTGAGGAGTAACTCGTGAGCGAGCACCGCACAGACCCTGCTGCTGCATTGCCGAGGGAGACTTGTTCATGGGAGAAGCAACCCTGAGGAAGATGCGCTGCCGCCAGGAGATTCGGCGAGGAGTGGCCGGGGTTCCTCCAACGTTCAGGGAATCATTGCTGCAAGTCGATGAGGTCCTTTTCCTCCCCTCTCCATCACTGCAGAAAGCAATTAAATATACACCTGTAAGGACCACGACATAACTGGGTTCTTCGCAACGACACGTAGCACAAGCCATTCACAAGTCCTGCCACAGGCAAGCGCAAGCCGCAGGCCACGCGGAGCCATGCGTCAGGAGGCACGCTGGGCACCCAGGCACCACATCTCGGGGGAAAAGCACCCCAGGCCACAGCCCAGTCATGGCAAGCTCACCTGTTTCTACTCATTCCATAAGAGCCCACCTTCTAAGTCCTAATGTAAGGAACAGAAGCACGTATGCAGAGAAGCAAAGGTTGCTTAAGTAATGAACTCATGCCTTGCTAAAAATCTCAAATTAATAGTATACGCTAAACAATGTGAGTATTCCATGAAAGGCTCATAAAGAGCTTTTCTTATAGTTGTATAGAATAGGCTAATAAAGATAGCTTCTAATCGCCTGGGAGTGTTAAGATCTGTCTCCAAACTGTTAGCTACCAACAGCTGGATCATGGCAGATAGTAACCTGAACAAAGTCAGAATGGTCCACTTTGGGATTACTAGTAGGTAATATGTTAAGAAATAAAATGGTGGTCAAATAAGATTGGACATGTTAAATTTAAAGATATTGGACATATTCCTTTTTTTTTTTTTTTTATCCTCACCCAAAGACATTCTTCCATATTTTGTTCAGATAGAGTGGGAGGGAGAGAGAGAGAAACATCGATGTGAAAGGGACACATCGAATGGCTGCCAACTGCACGACCACCAGGGCCGGGGACAAACTGCAACCAAGGTAATGTGCCCTTAGCGGGAACCGAACCCAGGTCTCTCTGGACTGCAGGTTGATGCTCTAACCGCTGAGCCAAACTGGCCAGGAGTAGACATATTCTTTATAGTAGGACTTCATAGAGACTGTGTTATGTTGGCATGCATTGTAACTCTCCAAAAAGAAATGGTGAACAAAATTTTCCTCTTATTCAACCCCAGAATCACCTTCCCCAACTTTTTTTTGAAGCGGGGGGTTGAGGATGTCACATCTCTCTATTATCAGTGCTCTAAGTCTGCTCTAAGAATTTCCTTTCCTAGGAAAGATCACTCTAAGTTATGCTAGGCCTATCTCCAATAAAAGATCATTGTGACCCAAACGTACTTTTTTTTTTAAAGAGAAAGAGAGAGAGAAACATCGACGTGAAAGAGACACATCGAGTGGCTGCCACCCACACAACCCAACCAGGGCTGGGGACAAACTGCAACTGAGGCACACGCCCCCAGCGGGAACCGAACCCGGGTCTCTCTGGACTGCAAGGCGACGCTCTAACCGCTGAGCCAAACCGGCCAGGGTCCAAATGTACTTTTGAGACCAATTATGCTAGCAGCTGGAATGCCATGCGATAATTGTTGCTGTTAGTGGTGGGAATAGTTTACTTTTTTTTTTTCAATTCTCAAGGATATTTTTCTATTGATTTTCAGATAGAGTAGGAGCGAGGGAGGTTGGGAGGGAGAGAGAGAAACATCAATGTGAGAGACACACATTGATTGATTAGTTGCCTCCTCCACAACCCTAATTAGGGCCGGGGATTGAACTGCAACTGAGGCACATGCCCTTAATCGGAATCAAACCTGAGATTCTTTGGTCCACGGGCCTATGCTCTAACCGCTGAGCTACCAGCCAGGGCTATTTTACTTCTTTAAGTTTCAAAGTCTCTAAGCTTTCCTGAGAGAATGAGGAAGCTACAAGTGTTTACAGGTAGTGATACCAATAAGTGAAAGTGCAGAAAAGTCGATGAAGTCAAGAAGTGTCCATTCTCAAGTCAGAAAAGAAACTCGGCTTGAAAAGCCACCACCCCACTCAGATCCTCCGCAGAACTGCGCAGTGCTAAGGCCGTCGAGAGTCAGGAGAGCACCTGCCTGTTACACTTAATTTACTGTCTGTGCTCACATATTGGGTAGCTCAGCTATTTCTAATCGTGATCTATTATCCTGGAAATACTACTTCTGGATTAGCTGGATGAAGGTTAAGAAAGAGACCTTCCAGCTGCTACACAGACAGCCGCTGCCGCGATGTGTTATGACACCTCAGAGAGCAGCTGATACACACATCTAATACAGTCAAACCCTTTGCTGTGTATCCTGGGTACAATTACAACCCTAGTATGTGCCCGTGGTTCGAAATGCCCTGAAATAGCGAATGTGTCTGTTTCTCTTTACCTCCACTTTGGAAAGCATTCGTCCACGCATCACCCTCTCAGAGAGTATGGTTCAGCTCTTCTATTTATGTCACATCCGGAGAGCACTCCCATCTTCGCGACACTACCTCCCTGGCAGTTATTTGCTAAATGCCCAGTTTATGGGTGTATTTCTAGCTCCTAGTGTAGTAACAGGCAAATAACAATAAGCATTCAACAAATATCCATTGAATAAATGAATACTGTGAAACCATATGAAACACTAACTCCGAATGTTAAATGGACAAAAAGTAACATTGGCTAGGTTAACATGACAGGGATAAATAAAAGATTGATCTTCTTTAAACCCTTTGTGAGTAGTCATGACTTTTAAGTCTTTCTGGCAAAAAGTTCTGTTTCCCAAAATCACAGACTAAGCTGTTGATGGCACCGGTAACCATCGATGATGAAAACAATGTTAGTACGCAACACAAGGCATCATTTTACCAGGCAAGTGTTGTTCCTGTCCCGTAATAAGGGCATCTAGTTAATAATTTAAAATATTATGTAAAAGCTCCTATTTCAATGCCTCACAAGGTGAGCTTCTCTTAGCCTCTTAGAGGAAACCAAACCAAAGGATTCTGAAACTTTTACATTTTAATGCTAGAATTAGACCATCATTCAAAAATCTCCTTCTGATTTACTGTTAATGACATATCAAGTGTTTAGAAAGTACTACAAACGAGACTGAGAAGTACCTATATCCGTTTTACTACTGTCTATAAAATATAAACTTTGGGGAGGAATATGTTATGAAACAAGTACATACAGTACCCTTATGTTAGCTTTACGTATTTGAAAATTTCATGCCTACAATTTTAAATTCCCAAGAAAAATGCCAAATGACCCATTGTCCTCCCATGTCTGGAATTTAACAGTGAGTAGCAAGCAAAAAATTAGCAGTCAAAATATAAGATAATAATGTACTGAAAGGAAGAACTTATGTAACAGACCATTGACCTTTTTCTAGTATTAAAAAAACAACATCCTGGAAAGGCAGTTTGGTGGCTGAGATAAGGCAAAAGCTGGGAGAAGGTATGTATTCAGAAGCCAAGGTCCAGATAAGGGTTTCACCAGTCAGGGCACACAGACAACTTACAGTAATTCAATCTCTGATTTACATTTAGTCAGCAAGCTGACATTCTTCAGATGGTAATTTCAAGAATCAAAACCATGTGAAAGATGATGCCTGAAAATCCTTGCATTCCACCTTGAAACCACACTAGAATGAAGTGAAAAACATGTTTTTCGTGGGGGATTTGTTGGTTTTTGATTTGGGTTTTTTTGTTTGTTTTTTGCTGTTATTATACTTCTGGTTGTTTTTGTAACTACATTAGTGGTCACTTTGATTTCTCCTTTAATTAAATGTACAGGTAGCCAAGCACAATGTCCACTTGTTGAGTGAAAGTAAAACAAAACAACAGGTAGGGTATTTGCTATAGTAATCATAAAGCTGATACGAACAGCACACACCACGTGCCAGGCACTGTTCTAAGCATTTTACAAGTGTGAATTCATTTCCGCCTCCCAGCACCTTACGGGGAAGGTATTATTACTGTTCCTATTTCAGTGAGAAAACTGAGGAAGAAAGAAGCTAAGTAACTTGCCCACCATCCCATGGACAGGAAGTGGAGAAGCCAGAATTCAAACCCAGGCAGTCCAGAACCCAGACACGTGGGTACTGTAGCTTATCTTGCCAATGTAAATACTCTTTGCATTAGTTCAGAAAAGCTCCGCTGAACCTCAAAAACAAAGCTGTCAGGACTCCCAGGACCCCGTGTATTTCTGGTGAAAAAAATCAGTCTCTCGTTAGCAGTAAGTCTTTCGGTCAGTACCTCTCTTTTCATTTCTTTAAAAGGAATAATGTCATTTATTTCAGCAGAGAAATGAATGCAGAGTGTTATTCAGTGTTCATTTACGTAAACATCTCATTTGCTTTCCTTTGCTCTTAAAATCACTGCATTCCAAAATGTAAATACTTTTTTTAATTTTTAAATAGGAGGATCAAATAAAATAAATCATTAATATGGTAGAATATACATGTTAGTATATTAATTACCTTTATATTTTTTAAATAATAAAACAGCCAGTGTAGCTCAGTTGGTTGGAGCATTGTCTCAAACACCAAAAGTTGGCGGGAGGGTTCAATTCCCCATCAGGGTACATACTGGGTTTCTGATTTTGATCCCCGGAAGAGGCACATGAGGAAGGCAACCAACTGATATTTCTCTCTCTCTCATGCTCTCTAAAATCAATAAATTAATAATAATAATAATAATAATAATAATGAAATAAATTAAATCCTTCTGTATTTTGGAATATCAACATATGCATTATAAAACTAATTCCCAAGAAACATATTCAGGAAAAGTATTCTGTGCCAGCATTACCTCTATTTAAATGTATTGAATTAAAAATGAATAACTAGGAGGAAAATACAATGGGGAGAACTCCCACCTATTTCTGTGTGTTATATGTATGTATGTTCTGGGTGTATGTTATATATTCCTCCTATTACTAGTTGCCGATTAATCCAGAACCACAATCCATGAACAAAATCAGGACTTATATGGGGAGGAAATATAATGTGCATCACGATGTGGGCTGGGAGACATTTCCAAGCCCTTCTAGACACAGCCTTGATCGAAAGCTATGGATGTGATATGAAGCATCCCTCCCCCAGAACTTTAAGATAACTGTTTAATCACACATCCTTGACCAAGAAGTTACAGTCTTCACCACGTCTACTATTAAATTAGCATTGTGGTTCTTATGTTGATACAGAATTTTTAATG